TTTCCCCCAAACTCTCTCCCTTTCCCCGCCGCTCCGCTCAGCCCGCGGCGCGGCGCGGGGCGCGCTCGGGTTTCTGTAGTGTAGCGGTTATCACGTTCGCCTCACACGCGAAAGGTCCCCGGTTCGAAACCGGGCAGAAACACTTCCCGTTTTTTTCCCTTTTTCTCCCTTTTCTTCTCTTGTTTTCCCTTTTCATCTCTTTCCCCAACTTTCCTTCCCTTCTCATCTCTTGTTTTCCCCTTTTTTCCCCTTTTCATCTATTTTTTCCCTTTTCTTCTCTTTTTTTTCCCCTTTTCTTCCCTTTTCATCTCTTTTTTCCCCTTTTCTTCTCCCTTTTTTCCCTTTCCTTCCCTTTTCTCCCCTTTTCTTCCCTTTTCGTCTCCTTTTCCCCTTTTTTTCCCTTTTCATCTCTTTTTTCCCCTTTTTTTCCCCTTTCCTTCCCTTTTTTCTCCCTTTTCTTCCCTTTTCATCTATTTTTTCCCCTTTTATTCCATTTCCTTCCCTTTTCATATCTTGTTTCCCCTTTTTTCCCCTTTTCATCTCTTCTTTTCCCCATTTCTTCCATTTTCTTCTCTTTTTTCCCCATTTCTTCCCTTTTCTCCCCCTTTTCTTCTCTTTTCTCCCCTTTTCTCCCCTTTTCGTCTCCTTTTTCCCCTTTTTTCCCCTTTTTGTCTCTTTTTCCCCTTTTCTTCCCTTTTCATCTCTTGTTTTCCCCTTTTTTCCCTTTTCTTCTCTTTTTTTCCCTTTTCATCTCTTTTTTCCCCATTTCTTCCCTTTTCTTCTCTTTTTTTCCCTTTTCATCTCTTTTTTCCCTTTCCTTTCCTTCCATTTTTTTTCCCTTTTCATCTCTTTTCTTTTTATATTTTTTGCAGCCAACTTTCTCACGCGCTCTGTGTGAATAATTAATTTTTTTGCGTCTTCTTTTGTTCATTGTTTTTGTCTTCTTTTGTGAAAAAAAGAGAAATTTAATAGAATTTTTTTTTCCCCCGGTGGCGTTGGAGAGGTGGCGCCGTCACTTTTAGAAACCTATAAACATTAAAATCCAAAATTAAAAGTGCCTTTTTTAAATTTAAAAAAATTTAATTAAATTAATTAAAAATTTTTACTTCAAGCAGAGCCAGCGGAGAGGAGAGAAATGCGCTTGGGGTGGGGCAGGACGGGGTGGGACAGACTCAGCTCCCTTTTCAGCCGCCGCGTTTCGGGGGTGACAGCCGGGGACAGCGACCCCGAGGGACGCTCGGGATTGGGGAGAGGCTCCGGCAGAGCGCAGGGATCCCTGGGGAGAGCCGGGAATGGCGACAAAAGCCGGGATTTGGGGAAGCTCAGGGGCACAGCGCGAGCCGGGCGCCCTCTCCCCACACCAGGAACCAGGGGCGCACCCTCTGCCCCCCGAAGGAGGCGGCGGGGAAGGCGAACATCAGGCTCCTCTTGTCGGCGTCGAAAAAAGCCACGCGGCCCCCGTCGTAGTCCAGCGCCACCCTCACCCTGCCCGGAGCCCGGCTGGAAGAGAGCGGGATGCGCTCCAGGGAGGAGAGAGCCCAGAACTGGCCCTGGCAGAGCCCCATGGACCACAGCTCCCACTCGGGGGGCTCTGCCCTGCTCCCGGGGGTCTCTGCCCCGCTGCCGGGGGTCTCTGCCCCGCTGCCGGGGGTCTCTGCCCGGCTGCCGGGGGTCTCCCTGGCCACCCCCAGCGCCCAGGACCCCTCGGGGGACACCTGCACGTCCCAGCAGCGCCGCCCGGCCGCGACGCCCTGGCAGCCCAGCACGGAGGGGTCGGTGCCGGGCTCGCTTTCGGGCTCCGCTCCGGGTTCTGGAAGGTTCTGGGCGCTCTCCCAGATGACGCTGCCGCCGTCGGGCGCCACCCGAAGCTGGGGGTGGGCCGTGCTGGGGTCCAGCGTCACCGTCACTGCGCCAGAGGGGATTCCCGCAGGGAATTCCGAGCGTCCTCCCCGGGTCCGGCGGGGTGAGGAGGATCCCCCGGCTCCCACCCCCCGGGGGGCTTTTCACCCTATTTCCCATCGTTTTTATCCATTTCCCATCGCTTTCCCCCATTTCCCATAATTTCCCTCCATTTTCCATCATTCTCCCTCAATTTCCCATCATTTTCCCCTAATTTTCCATCATTTTCCCCCATTTCCCATAATTTCCCTCATTTCCCAAAATTTCCCCCCCTTTCCCATCATTTTTCCCCCACTTCCCATCATTTCCCCCCTTTTCCCATCATTTCCCCCCATTTCCCATCGCTTTCCCCCATTTCCCATAATTTCCCTCATTTCCCATAATTTTCCCCCCTTTTCCCATAATTTCCCCCCCTTTCCCATCATTTTCCCCCCATTTCCCATCGTTTTCACCCCATTTCCAATCATTTTCCCCCACTTCCCATCATTTTCCCCCCATTTCCCATCGTTTTCCTCCCATTTCCCAGTTTTTCCCAATTTCCCGTAATTTCCCCCATTTCCAATCATTTTCCCCCCATTTCCCATAATTTTCCCCATTTTCCCCCCATTTCCCATCGTTTCCCCCCATTTCCCGTCATTTTCCCCCATTTTCCATAATTTTCCCCCATCCCAGCTCTCACTTTTCTCCGGCAGCTCGAAGGCCAGGATGTCTGAAAAAAAAAAAAGGGGGAAAAAGGAGTGATAAAAAATGCAGGGAAAAGTGGGAACGGGAATGTGGGGAGGCCGTTCCGGCACGCTGAGAATGACAAATGGCACTCAAAAATTAATTCATTTTAAAATTAATTAATTTAAAAAAATCAATTGCAGTTAAAATAATTGCAGTAAGACACATCACGTGCTGTAAATAAACACAATTTATGCCTGCACGTGCGCGTGATAATTATGTAACAAACACGTAATAAATGCCATTTTTGCGTACAATAAAGCAAATAAAATTAATCTCTTCCTCTCCCAGCCTGCCCCAATACCTCGGACGCTCCTCAGCGTCTCCCCCAGGAGAAGATTTTCCTCCCTGAAGCGATGAATTTTCTCTTCCAGCTCCGGAAGGGGCGACGGGGGCAGCTGGAGGTTTTCCTCTGCCAGGCTGGGGAAGGAAGGAAGGGAGGAAGGAAAGAAAGAAAGAAAGCAAGAAAGAAAGAAAGCAAGAAAGAAAGAAAGCAAGAAAGAAAGAAAGCAAGAAAGAAAGAAAGCAAGAAAGAAAGAAAGCAAGAAAGAAAGAAAGCAAGAAAGAAAGAAAGCAAGAAAGAAAGAAAGCAAGAAAGAAAGAAAGCAAGAAAGAAAGAAAGCAAGAAAGAAAGAAAGCAAGAAAGAAAGAAAGCAAGAAAGAAAGAAAGCAAGAAAGAAAGAAAGCAAGAAAGAAAGAAAGCAAGAAAGAAAGAAAGCAAGAAAGAAAGAAAGCAAGAAAGAAAGAAAGCAAGAAAGAAAGAAAGCAAGAAAGAAAGAAAGCAAGAAAGAAAGAAAGCAAGAAAGAAAGAAAGCAAGAAAGAAAGAAAGCAAGAAAGAAAGAAAGCAAGAAAGAAAGAAAGCAAGAAAGAAAGAAAGCAAGAAAGAAAGAAAGCAAGAAAGAAAGAAAGCAAGAAAGAAAGAAAGCAAGAAAGAAAGAAAGCAAGAAAGAAAGAAAGCAAGAAAGAAAGAAAGCAAGAAAGAAAGAAAGCAAGAAAGAAAGAAAGCAAGAAAGAAAGAAAGCAAGAAAGAAAGAAAGCAAGAAAGAAAGAAAGCAAGAAAGAAAGAAAGCAAGAAAGAAAGAAAGCAAGAAAGAAAGAAAGCAAGAAAGAAAGAAAGCAAGAAAGAAAGAAAGCAAGAAAGAAAGAAAGCAAGAAAGAAAGAAAGCAAGAAAGAAAGAAAGCAAGAAAGAAAGAAAGCAAGAAAGAAAGAAAGCAAGAAAGAAAGAAAGCAAGAAAGAAAGAAAGCAAGAAAGAAAGAAAGCAAGAAAGAAAGAAAGCAAGAAAGAAAGAAAGCAAGAAAGAAAGAAAGCAAGAAAGAAAGAAAGCAAGAAAGAAAGAAAGCAAGAAAGAAAGAAAGCAAGAAAGAAAGAAAGCAAGAAAGAAAGAAAGCAAGAAAGAAAGAAAGCAAGAAAGAAAGAAAGCAAGAAAGAAAGAAAGCAAGAAAGAAAGAAAGCAAGAAAGAAAGAAAGCAAGAAAGAAAGAAAGCAAGAAAGAAAGAAAGCAAGAAAGAAAGAAAGCAAGAAAGAAAGAAAGCAAGAAAGAAAGAAAGAGAGAAAGAGAGAAAAAGAAAGAAAGGAAGGAAGGAAGGAAGGATGGATTTGGCCGCAAAAACCCAAATATTTCGGTGTCTAAATGAGGCCAAAGGCGGGAGGAGGAGCTCGGGAAGCCCCGTCCGTACCTGCTCAAGGTGCTGCCGATGTCCTGGAGGGGACAGAAGGGACCCTGTGAATCACTCAGAACCACGGAAACGCTGACACTGACGAGATTTCCCAGCCCAAGCAGCGGCAAAACCTCTGAGGCGCCGGGCTGCGGATGGTTTGGGCCGAAGGGACCCCCAGAGACCCCCTCGTTTCACCACCCCGCTGCGCTGGGTTGCTCCAAAGCCCCTCCGGAGCCGCGGGCTCCGTGTCGCCGTCCCTTGTCACCTGCAGGAAGGTCCTGGCTGGCTGCTGGCACTTCTCCTCCAGCTCCTGGACGCGGCTGTCCAGCCGGGAGATCTCCTGGGTCAGGCGCGTCAGGTTTTCCTCCTGCACCTTCCCCATGCGGCTCTCCAGGCGCCCCAGGCGGGCCAGGAGGTGACAGCAAAGCTCCTCCAGGGCGAGGCGCAGCCCCTGGAACTGGGACAGAATCCGCTGCCGCTCGGCCTCGGTCTTCTCCTGCGGGTGGGACACGCGGGGAGGGGAGGGGGAGTCAAAGCCGCTCCCTGCAGAGAGACCCCCGCCCCTCTAAACCCACCGGGGGACGCGCGCTGCCCCCGCTCTGCTCCGCAGCGTTTACCAAACACTCCAAGTTTCTCCTCATTTCAGCCTCCCGGAACTCCAGGAGTTTGTCTCTGCCGTCCTTCAGGCTTTGCAGCCCAGCCTGGATTTGCTCCTGAGGGAGGGAAAGATAAAAAAAATCCCGATTTTTTCCCGAGATGGGAACGGCTTCAAAACCTCGCTCTGGGCAGGGCGCTGGAGCGCGGGCAGCTCCGTTTTCCTCCCGCTCCAGGAAAACCGTCCCGCTTTTTTTTGGTGGTTTTTTTTTTGGGTTTTTTTTTCTTTTTTTCTTTTTTTTTTTTTTTTTCCCCCACATTCCTGCTGATTTAGGGACTGGCATTGTCCGCTGGGCGCTGGAGCTGGAACTCCGCGGCAGGGAGGAGGAGGAGGGGGATGAAGACCCAGACCCCTCTGGGCTCGGTGGACAACGAAGCCCCCCGACCCCTCTGGGCTCGGCGGAGAACGAAGCCCCCCGGCCCCTCCCTGCTCGGCGGAGAACGAAGCCCCCCGGCCCCTCCCTGCTCGGCGGAGAACGAAGCCCCCCGGCCCCTCCCTGCTCGGCGGAGAACGAAGCCCCCCGGCCCCTCCCTGCTCGGCGGAGAACGAAGCCCCCCGGCCCCTCCCTGCTCGGCGGAGAACGAAGCCCCCCGGCCCCTCCCTGCTCGGCGGAGAACGAAGCCCCCCGACCCCTCTGGGCTCGGCGGAGAACGAAGCCCCCGAGCGTGTCCTGCTCCCTTAAAGGGTCTGGGGGCTGCGTGGGCGAACCCGGGGGGACATTTCCACCTGGCGCAGCCTTTTCCCTGGCGGAAGAAGGATGGAAAGCGCCTCCTTCACCTTGCACTCCCGCACCGCCTCGGGCACCGGCAGCACGGTGTGGGCCCGGTGCGCCCGGGACTCGCGGCAGATCGCGCACAGCAGAGCCCCGTCCTCCTTGCAGAAAACCTCCAGCGGCTCCCGGTGCTTCTGGCACCCTTCCTCCTCCTCTTCCTCGCCGGCTGCCAGCGCTTCCCCGCGGCTCAGCCGCCGGGCGATCTCCAGCAGCCGCTCCAGCTCCGGGCTCGGGCGGAGGCTCCGCACCGGCGCCGCGTCCCGGCAGCGCGGGCAGGCGAAGCGGGCCGTGGGCCACTCCCAGCAGCGCTCGATGCACCTCCGGCAGAAGTGGTGGCCGCAGTGGATGGACACGGGCTCGCGGAAATATTCCAGGCAGACGGGGCAGCGCGCCGAGCCCGGCAGCGCCTCCATGGAGCGCCCGGAGCCGCCGCTTTCGTTTTGGCCGCGCAGCGAGGGAGGCGTCGCCTTCCTGCCCCCGCGAGGATGAGGATGGAGAGGGGCGGGAGGTGGGCAAAACCCTCCCGGCTGGGCGCAAAGTCTTGGTCCCAGTGGGATTCCTGGGATGCGCAGCCCGGCGAGGAGCAGGGGTTGGGACGGCCGCTCCCAACTGGTGGAAATCAGGAAAAATTCCCCAATTTTGGCTGATCGCCGAAGGATTTCCCCGGGCTCTGATGGATGGGTCCCTGCGCACCCTCCAGGCTAGAACCTCCCACCCCTCTCCTTGGATTTTTTTAGAATTTAAATTTAGGTTTTAAGAGATTTTTATTGAGGTTTTTTTTTTTATATTTTTCCCTGGAAAGGTGAGAAAAGGAGGCAGGTTGCTCCCAGCCCCTGGATCTCTCTGCGCCTCGAAACAACTGAGCAAAATCCTGCCGAAAACCTTGGATTAATGATTTTCCTTTCCTCTGGCGCTGAGCAAATCTCTCCTTGTCTGTGAAACCCGAGCCTCCTGCTCCCTCTTGAGCCCACGGCAGGGGAGAATTCCGGTGATTACACCCGGAAAATCAGGGAGGGAAATCGTTTGGAAAAGGGATCCTGATCCCTCTCGATTTTTTGCACGTCTCACCCCCCGATAAATCAACCTTAGCCCCAGATTAACCAAAAAAAAAAAAAAAAAAAAAAAAAAAAGAAAAAAAAAAAAAAAGGTGTTTTGAGCACGAAGCCGCCCCCCAGGTTTCAGTCTGAGTGTTCCGAGAGCCGGAAAACCCGAAACCCCCAAAAAACTCCGGCAGAGAATTAACGGCGGGTGAGTTGTTGACCGATTTCCTCAAAATAAAAAAGAGAAAAAAAAAAATAATTTCAGCGAGTTCCGAGGGCTCCGGAGTCACGCTGGAGGTCCAGGGGGGCTCTTGTGAAAAAAGGAAAGTTAAAAATAGGAAAGTCTGTGGTGAGCGGCTCAGCCCCGAGCCGTGAGAGCAGCGATTTCCTGTGCAAAAGGAGAAGTGAAAGGAACAATAAAAGTATTTTTTAATAAATTTTGAATAAAGCCGCGCGGACGGGTGGGGGTGCTGGAGGGGGGAATTTAGGAATGAAGGGTCGGGAGGAGGAATGAGCAGCAAAGGATGAGCCAAAAATTACTCCAAGCTCCGTCCCCCTTCAATTGATAAATTAGGAGTGAATCAATACATTAAATTAAATTTATTAATGAATAAATGCGAAATAAATCAGCGGAAAGCAGCGGAAGCAGGCTGGTTCCTGGTTCAGACCTCAAGGGGAGGCTCGGGGCAGCCTCGCGCTCTCCCTGGCTGATTTTTGGGGCAGAAGGGAGGAAAAGAGGAGCTGCAGGCGGATTCCAACCAAGGCGGTGAGTGACGAAGGAACTTTAATTTCCGTTTGATCTCCTTGCCGCCCCTGCGAGCCTGGTGGGGAGGGGGATTCTCTGTCCCTGTCCGGCTCGGCTGGGCTGCAGTCCGGTGCCAAGCCCGGTATTAACTCGGTACCAAGCCCGGTATTAGACCCGGTGTTAAATCTCCTGTTCGACCCGGTATTAAACCCGGTGCTAAGCCCGGTACCAAGCCCGGTATTAACTCGGTACCAAGCCTGGTATTAGACCCGGTGCCAAACCCGGTGCTAGACCCGGTATTAGACCCGGTGCCAAACAAGCCGGTTCCAAGCTTGGTATTAGACTCGGTATTAGACCCGGTGCCAAACCCGGTGCTAGACCCGGTATTAAACCCGGTGCCAAACCGGATGCCAAGATCGGTGTTAGACACGGTTCCAAGACCGGGGCCAAAATCGGTGTTAGAACCGGTTCCAAGCCCGGTGCCAAGCCCGGTATTAAACCCAGTACCAAGCCCGGTATTAGACCCGGTGCCAAACCCAGTGTTAGACCCGGTGCCAAACCCGGTATTAAACGCGGTGCCAAACCGGGTGTTAGACCCGGTATTAGACCCGGTGCCAAACAACCCGGTACCAAAGCCGGTGCTAGACCCGGTATTAAACCCGGTGCCAAGCCCGGTGTTAGACCCGGTGCCCGGTATTAAACCCTGTGCCAAGCCCGGTATTAGACCCGGTGCCAAACCCGGTGCCAAACCCGGTGCTAGACCCGGTATTAAACCCTGTGCCAAGCCCGGTATTAGACCCGGTGCCAAACCCAGTGTTAGACCCGGTGCCAAACCCGGTATTAAACGCGGTGCCAAACCGGGTGTTAGACCCGGTATTAGACCCGGTGCCAAACAACCCGGTACCAAAGCCGGTGCTAGACCCGGTATTAAACCCGGTGCCAAGCCCGGTGTTAGACCCGGTATTAGACCCGGTGCCAAACAACCCGGTACCAAAGCCGGTGCTAGACCCGGTATTAAACCCGGTGCCAAGCCCGGTGTTAGACCCGGTGCCAAGCCCGGTATTAAACCCGGTGCCAAGCCCGGTATTAGACCCCGTATTAGACGCGGTGCCAACCAACCCCGCGGCCCGCCCGCCCGGTGCCAAACCCGGTGCTAGACCCGGTATTAAACCCTGTGCCAAGCCCGGTATTAGACCCGGTGCCAAACCCGGTATTAAACCCGGTGCCAAACCGGGTGTTAGACCCGGTATTAGACCCGGTGCCAAACAAGTCAGTACCAAGCCCGGTGCTAGAGCCGGTGCCAAACCCGATGCTAGACCCGGTGCCAAACCCGGTGCTAGACCCGGTATTAGACCCGGTGCCAAACCCGGTGCTAGACCCGGTATTAGACCCGGTGCCAAGCCCGGTGTTAGACCCGGTGCCAAGCCCGGTATTAAACCCGGTGCCAAACCCGGTGCCAAGCCCGGTGTTGGACCCGGTGCCAAGCCCGGTGTTGGACCCGGTGCCAAGCCCGGTATTAGACCCGGTATTAGACGCGGTGCCAACCAACCCCGCGGCCAGCCCGGCGCCGAGCCCGGCTGCTCTCAGCAGCGGGGCCGCCCCGCTCTGCCTTTCCCCGCAGCCCCGGCAGGAAGCGGAACCGGCCCGGTACCGGCCATGGCCGAGCGCGGCCCCGCCGGGAGCCTCCGCGCCTCGGCCTCCTGCCCGCTGTGCCTCGGCCTCTTCCAGGAGCCCGTGTCCATCCACTGCGGCCACAACTTCTGCCGGCCGTGCATCGAGCGCTGCTGGCGGAGCTCCCGGGACAGCTTCCCGTGCCCGCGGTGCCGGGAGGCGGCCCCGGAGCGCAGCCTGAGACCCAACCCGGAGCTGGCCGCGATCATCCGCGTGGCGCAGCGGCTGAGCCTCCGCGGGCGAGCCGCGGGCGCGGAGCCGCTGTGCCGGAGGCACGGCGAGGCTCTGAAGCTGTTCTGCGAGGAGGAGCAGAGCCCCGTGTGCCGCGAGTGCCGCCGCTCCCCGCGGCACCGGCTGCACGCCGCCGTGCCCATCGAGGAGGCGGCGCAGGAGCGCAAGGTGGGAGCCCTGCGGACGGAGGAGGAGGAGGAGGAGGAAGCCCGGTACCAAGCCCGGTATTAACTCGGTACCAAGCCCGGTATTAGACCCGGTGCCAAACAAGCCGGTTCCAAGCTTGGTATTAGACTCGGTATTAGACCCGGTGCCAAACCCGGTGCTAGACCCGGTATTAAACCCGGTGCCAAACCGGATGCCAAGATCGGTGTTAGACACGGTTCCAAGACCGGGGCCAAAATCGGTGTTAGAACCGGTTCCAAGCCCGGTGCCAAGCCCGGTATTAAACCCAGTACCAAGCCCGGTATTAGACCCGGTGCCAAACCCAGTGTTAGACCCGGTGCCAAACCCGGTATTAAACGCGGTGCCAAACCGGGTGTTAGACCCGGTATTAGACCCGGTGCCAAACAACCCGGTACCAAAGCCGGTGCTAGACCCGGTATTAAACCCGGTGCCAAGCCCGGTGTTAGACCCGGTGCCAAGCCCGGTATTAAACCCGGTGCCAAACCCGGTGCCAAGCCCGGTGTTGGACCCGGTGCCAAGCCCGGTGTTGGACCCGGTGCCAAGCCCGGTATTAGACCCGGTATTAGACGCGGTGCCAACCAACCCCGCGGCCAGCCCGGCGCCGAGCCCGGCTGCTCTCAGCAGCGGGGCCGCCCCGCTCTGCCTTTCCCCGCAGCCCCGGCAGGAAGCGGAACCGGCCCGGTACCGGCCATGGCCGAGCGCGGCCCCGCCGGGAGCCTCCGCGCCTCGGCCTCCTGCCCGCTGTGCCTCGGCCTCTTCCAGGAGCCCGTGTCCATCCACTGCGGCCACAACTTCTGCCGGCCGTGCATCGAGCGCTGCTGGCGGAGCTCCCGGGACAGCTTCCCGTGCCCGCGGTGCCGGGAGGCGGCCCCGGAGCGCAGCCTGAGACCCAACCCGGAGCTGGCCGCGATCATCCGCGTGGCGCAGCGGCTGAGCCTCCGCGGGCGAGCCGCGGGCGCGGAGCCGCTGTGCCGGAGGCACGGCGAGGCTCTGAAGCTGTTCTGCGAGGAGGAGCAGAGCCCCGTGTGCCGCGAGTGCCGCCGCTCCCCGCGGCACCGGCTGCACGCCGCCGTGCCCATCGAGGAGGCGGCGCAGGAGCGCAAGGTGGGAGCCCTGCGGACGGAGGAGGAGGAGGAGGAGGAGGGAGGGAGGAGGGCGAGGCCGGGTGAGCGTTGTTGTCCTGGAGTTTTTTGCGCTTTTCCCCCCACTCCCGGCATGGCCGGATGGAGGGAGAGGCGCCGAGCAGCCGCTTCTCCCCCGCTCAGGAGAAATTCCAGGCTCAGGCGCAGATCCTCAGGGAAAGGAGGGAAAAGATGCTGGGGATGAAGGCGGCGGAGGAAGGGAAAAGCTTGGACTTGCTGGTGAGTGACCCTTCGCTCGTCCCTGGGCTACCCGGGCCTGGCGCTCCCTCACCGCGAGGAATTTCTCCCGGTGGATTTAGGGATCCCACCCAAACCCGGGTTTTTCCTGTTTATTGTGGGTCTTTGCCTCCCTCCAGGTGCTCACAAGTGGGGCACGCCCCCAGATCCCCCCTGCCCATAGAGAGAAATCGGGAATTACCCGGTTGCGTCTTTTTTTTTTTTTTTTTTTTGCCTGGTTTTCCCTTTTCCCCGATCTCTGTCACGGGGTAACTTCTTTATGGGTTTATTTTGCGCCTTCCCGTGTCCAAAGGTCTGGAGCCTTTTGGGTGCAAAGTTTACGGAGCAGGGGGAAAATGCTTTGCCAGCAATCCCCGCCTAGAAATGGGGAAAGAAAGAAAGAAAGAAGAGAAAGAGAAAGAAAGAAAGAGTGAAAGAGTGAAAGAGAGAGAGAGAGAGAGAGAGCAGCCCCTCACGGCCGTTCCCGTGCAGGAGCGGGTGGCGGCGGAGCGGCAGCGGCTGCGCTCGCAGGTGCGGGAGCTGCGGGAGCTGCTGGCGGGGCGGGAGCGGCTCCTCCTGGCCCGGCTGGCCGAGCTGGAGCGGGACATCGCGCGGAGGCGGGAGGAGAGCGTCCGCAGGCTCTCGGAGCAGATCTCCGCCCTGGGCCAGCAGATCCAGGAGCTGGAGGAGAAGTGCCGGCAGCCGCCCTGGGAGCTCCTGCAGGTGAGAGCCCAGAGCGGCCAAACGCATCAGTCCCGAAGAAAATCCCAGGTTTGGGCAGGACGAGCCTGGCAGAGCACCCAGAACCCAGGGACTCTTCCACCGGGCTGTTTCTCCAATCCCTGTCCAGCCCGGAGATAGAAAAACTCCTTTTAAATCCTATTTTTCCCCCGTAATTATTCCCTTCATAAGTCATCCCAGCTGTGCACTGGAATGTCGTGGGTCACCCCCAGGGCCCAGCTCGCTGGGGTTCACCCCACTGGGGTTCACCCCTGTCCAGTGGAGCCCCCCAGAAATGGCTGGGTTCCCCCGGCCACAGCTGGAAACCGCTGGTGCTCCCCCTGGTCTGGAGGTTGCCACCAAAGCCACCATCCGAGCCCGGCCCTGGTTCGATAATTAAATAGTCAAATGTGAAAAAAAAATTCAAATATCAAAAAATTCAAGCATCAAAAAATCCAAACATTCCAATGACGAAATATTCCGATATCCAAACATTCAAAGAGCCAAACATTCAAATGCCTAAATATTCAGATATCCAAACGTTCAGACACCCAAACATTCAAACAAACAGCCAAACATTCAAACAAATAGCCAAATATTTAAACACACAAACATTTAAAGAGCCAAACATTCAAACACCCAAACATTCAAACACCCAAACATTCAAACACCCAAACATTTAAACAGCCAAACATTCAAACAGCCAAACATTCAAACAAACAGTCAAATATTCAAACACTCAAATATTCAAATGAGCAGAGGCGTTCATTAGCAGCGGCCACGCCCCTCCAGCTGCTCGTTAAGGCTGCCGCGACCTCACCCGAATTCCCGCAGATCCAGAACCCCTCCTTCGGGCCGGGGAGCGCCCCAGGGTCACCCCAGAGCCCTCCCTGGTTTTTCACCCCACCTCTGACGTGTCTGTCTGTCTGTCTGTCTGCCTCTCCCCTGCAGGACAGCAGCGACACCCTCAGCAGGTGTGTGGCTCCTCCTCGCCTGCATTGCTGACCCCAAAACCCAGCAATCCGTGACAGGGACACGGCTGGGACAGCGCAAAAGTCCAGTGAGGATGCTGGAGGCCAGGGTCAGGTGCTGGGGAGGGGGGAAAGGCGCCCCCAGCTCTGCTGGAGCTGCTCGCTGACCCGTGAAAACCTCCCCGGAGGGATCAGCTCTGCCAAAAAACGGGGAGCCGACAGCTCAGAGGGGTAAATTCCAAGGGAATCCTGCAGATTTAACAGGTCTGCTTGTGTCCCCTTCAGACGGGGGGCGTGGGAAGGAGGAAAGTGGGCGAGGAAAGTCGCTTTTGTTCCCTGATTTCCACTGGCAGAAAATTTTCACTACCCATGGAGTCCTCAGCCAGGAAATGCTCTCCAGGATCCCCTTGATGAGGAGCAGATCCCAAAAACCTCCTGTAGATGCCAAACCCGGGAGGAATGGAAAATCGTGGAAACTCGGGGTGGTTTGGGTTGGGAGGGGCCTTCCCAGGGCCCAGCTGCCTCTCCAGTGCCACCATTCCCTGGTTTTGTGGAGAAAATCTTCTCCTGCTTTCCAGGCTGGAGGAGCAGAGCGCCCCCGAGCCCGAGGAGACGCCACCAGGGCGGGCAGAGGAACCCACGGGGCTGCCGCAGGAAAAATTCACCCTCAAAGAGATGCTGAAGGAGTTCCAAGGTATGGAGGGGCCGGGGACGGGGGGTGGCACCGTGTCACCTTGGGAAATCACCCCTCAAAGGCGAGAATCCCAGATATTTCCACGTGGCAGCTTCAGAAAGGAAAGCCGTGGAACACCCAGCAAAAGCCCCGCACTCCAGAGCCTCGTGTTTGCTCCGAGCCAAATTCCCTTTGCTGGGATTTCCCTTGATCCCAATTTCCCTTTTCAAAGGGAAAAATTTCTCTGCAAATTTCCCTTTTGGATTGCAGAATTTCTCTGAGATTTTCCCTTTTCAAAGGGAAACATTTCTCTGCAATTTTCCCTTTTCAAAGGGAAAAAATTCTCTGCAAATTTCCCTTTTGGATTGCAGAATTTCTCTGCGATTTTCCCTTTTCAAAGGGAAAAAGTTCTCTGCAAATTTCCCTTTTCTGCTCTCCCAGTCCCACAAACCACCCCTGGAGCCTCCCAGATGGGGGAAGGTGGGACAAACCCGACCCCAAATGTGGGACAAACCTGGCCCCAAACCCCAAATGTGGGACAATCCCAACCCCAAATGTGGAATAAACTGCACCCCAAAGATGGGACAAACCCCACCCCAAAGGTGGAATAAAACCAACCCCAAAGGTGGAACAAACCTGACCCAAACCCAATTCCAAATGTGGGACAAACCCAACCCTAAATGTGGAATAAATCCCACCCCAAAGATGGGACAAACCCAACCCCAAAGTTGGAACAAACTCAACCCCAAATGTGGAATAAACCACACTCCAATGGTGGGACAATCCCAACCCCAAAGGTGGAATAAAACCAACCCCAAAGTTGGGACAAACCCCACCCCAAAGTTGGGACAAAACCCCACGCAAAGCTGGGACAAACCCCACGCCAAGGGTGGGACAAACCCCACCCCAAACCTCTCGAGGCTCCAGACCCACAGCCCCCCTCGCCCCGCAGTCAGCCTGACGCTGGATCCCGACACGGCGCACCCGCGGCTCGCCCTGTCCGAGGACGGCAAGCGCGTCCGCTGGGAAGACGCCCGCAGATCCGTCCCCGACCACCCCAAACGCTTCGACTCCTCGCGCTGCGTGCTGGGCCTGCAGGGTTTCACCTCCGGCCGCCACTACTGGGAGGTGCGGGTGGGCCGCGGCGCCGCGTGGGCCGTCGGCGTGGCCAGGGAGTCGGTGGCCAGGAAAGGCCGGGTCAGCGTCAAGCCCGAGCTGGGGATCTGGGCCGTGGGGCGCTGCGGGAGCCAGTGCCAGGCCCTGGCGTCGCCCAGCGTGCCCATCGCCCTGCCCCAAGCCCCCGAGGTGGTCGGGGTCTACCTG